CCCAGCTCCCTAACTCTCAGGGACATCTCAGGCCCCACGGGGAGTGGAACGGGATTGGAGCGGACCTCCCCGTGCCCCAGGTACCTCCAGTCTTATAGGGACAGCCCGGGGTCTGACAGACCAGACCTCCGTGTCCGCTCACCTCGGGCCCTGCCAGGCGCAGCCCAGCTTCCCCGTGCCCGGAGGCCTCAGGCCCTCTCGGGTCGGGACCGGCCCTGCTGAGCGCCCCCGGACCCGAACGCCTCAGGCCCCAGCCGCGCCCCAGCCTCACCGCTCTGCGACCGGCGCAGCCCCGGCTCCCGTGCCCGGAGACCCGCGGCTCGACCTCCGCCGCCCCTCACCGTGGCTCCGGGCTGCCCCGCCACGGCCCTGCCCGTCTCAGCGGACGCCTGACACTGACTGATCCACCGGCCCCTACCATCAGCTAGTGAGGGGGGGGAGGGGGTTGAGGGGAAGAAGAACAGAATGCTTCCCGGCTACCCACCGGCCGCCGCCACAGAGGAAAGCGAGCAGAAAGTGGGAGAGAAGGAGGCGGCGGTTCGTACCGCGGCACCGAGCCGGTTACTTCCCGCCACCCTCCCGAGAATCACTCAACCTCTGCCCCCCGCCGGGTGCGGCAGTGGCTCGGCCCACGGCCGCCCTGTCCACGGGAGCTGGGCAGAGCCATTACCTCAACACGAGAGGGGGGGAAGCTGAGCAAACCCGGAAGACGCCTCCTCCCTTCTCTCGCTATCCCCTGCCCCTCTGCCACGCCGCAGAGAGCGGACAATGGCGACCGAGCCCCGGGAGGAGATGAGACGCCGCCCTGCGACCCCCACAACCGCTGCACCCTCAGCGGGCTTCACTACCGCCCCCCCCCCCCCCCTTCCCTCCGCGAGGTGGTGCGGGAGTCGCATGGCGGGTCACGTGACCGGCAGCTACCGGAGGGGGACGCTGGGCGGCCCCCGCGCAAGCGCAGTGCGCGGGCGGGGCCCCGCTGAGGAGGCGAGCATCGCGGGTTCGAGCCCGGGCGGCGGCGGGAGCGGCGCGGGGAGGTGTTGGGGGGAGCCCCTTTTCCTCTCCCCGTCCCCCCCCGGGGCAGCGGGGTGCCCAGCGCAGGCCGGGCCCGACCCCTCCGCTAAAGACACTCAGTACAAGCACTGGCAGTACCCATCGTGTTTTAATTCCTTAAACTACTCGCAATATGAGACTGAGGCAGATGAAGGCTTCCATCAAGTACTAACTTCCCCCGTTCCATTTATAAAGCAAAGATGTTTGCACAGGTAACAGCCTCTGAAGAAAGGGAGCAGACACCCAAATTAAACCTGGTGCAGGTCCTTCAAGACAGATTTGTCTCCGTTAAACAACTCCAGACTCTTTCCAAGGTATCAAGTTAGAGGATTATTTATCTCTAGAAAATGTACGATGGAAACTAAAACCCAACTCCATGTAAACTATTAATACTTTCAGGCTTTAAAATAATAAATTACTGGATTCTGGCCCCCACCCCTTCCCTTTACATTGGAGTTGACCCCTACAGAGCTTTAAATAGCTGAGTTTGAAAAAAAAAAAAAAAAAAAGGTAAATCTTCCACAAACTAACAGCATAGATCATTTGGCTGAGTAAAACTTGTACTTAAATCTCAAGAGTGAGCAGCTGTCACTCCTACCACGACAATATATGCCTCTTGATCCAAGCAGCCATGCATGGGCTAATAATTACACCTCTGAAAAAAAACAATATTCAGATGGTCAGCGAGTCGGATGATTATTGTAACACAGAGATCAGATATGAAATGTTTGATCCAAAGTCCATCTAACCTTGCAGCCCATCTCAGACAAGGACCAAGGAAGACATACTGTTTGCACAAAACCAACTACTGCTTCTACTCGAGATAGTTCAGGAAGGCTCCGAGAAGCCACCAGCAGAGCTCGACCAACTCCTGAGCAGAGGGCACTGCCACACACAGCAGACAACTAACAGCCTCCCACCAGTCAGCCAGAACCACGTCCTGAGAAGTGACCAAAAAAAGACACCCCTCTCCCCCCCCCCCCCCCCCAAAAAAAAACCAAACCTAAGGAAAAGCGAAATAGAAAGACCTACTATCTCATTTAAGACAAACTAAGAATGACGACTCATTTGTTATCTTTATTTTCCAATAGTACATTTAAACAACTTCTCAGGACTAACCTCCTCAGCCAGTCTGGCCATGCAGAAAACATTTCCTAGGTTATACAGATCGCCTACGACAACACATACAAGGGGTGGCGGTTGCACTGCGGTGTAGGAGGGCAGCTGGAGTTACGCACAAGCACATGGCGCAACGGCAGCGCTACGGGGGTGCGAGCGGCGGTCACCGACTGAGGCTCCTCAGTGGCACAAAAACAGGAGGGGTGGTTGTACACAGGCAGCTTCTAACCAGTCCTTAGAACCATTTTAATACCTAATAACAACTGAACTAGAGACCCCTCCTGTGGCTAAGAAGTGTAGTTGCACGTCTGATGCTGCCTTCAGAACTGCATTTTGTCTCTTTGCTAAGTAAGCTTTGTGGAAATAGGAGTTAGGCATCAAAGCATGCACTCAGTATTCCGTGAACACATCTTGTGGCCATGCACGATGGAAAGAACTAGCCCCAGGACCTCCGAGAGTATAAGTTTGGAGGAGCACAGCACGCAGTGTTCTTGTACTTGACCAAAGTCCATCTGTGCAATAAATACTAATTAAAACCAGAAAGCTCAAGTGTTCTCAAAGTGCCTCAGCTGACCACAGCCCATGCAATTAGTTCCAAGACTTGAAGGAGCTACTTCATTAAAAATCTGACTTAATTTCAACAGTATCTCCAGACATGCAGATGCCACACCATATGTGTTTATCAAACTATTACTTAAAAGCCCTTCCCTGAAGCACTTTCGATGAATCCTTTATCTACTGATTCTACAGGTGGGACCTGACTTTGAATTTTCAACGGTAATCGGAGTTTAACAGCACAACTATCCACGTCAGAAAAGGAACTTTAGCAGTTCTCTAACTTTGAAAGCATTTGCCCTCTTAAAAATCAGATTTAGAAAAACAGTGTAATCTATCATTTGAAACTATTACATAGCTATTTCTAACATCCTTTTGATGTGAGCATAGATTTATTTTATCCACTTTAGGCAAAAAAGAAAATGTAGCTGCTATTTGCCAGCTGCATATATTAGTTTGCTTCCAATTCCACAGATAAAAAGCTATCCTGCAGCTCTCGGCAGGGAATCCCATGCTCACTAATAGGAACTAGTGGTATAAAAGCTCAGCCATTGCAATGTAGACATTTCTGGTTTTTCTCCAACTTCATGAAAGCATACATTCTCCCCATGGCAATGAAAGGCAAGCCATTCGTGTTTTCATATAGGTGGTAGTTTGGCGTTAGTCATTTGCAGTCCTTTCTATGACTACTGCACACGGTTGTAAACACTTCGACAACCCAACTTTGTGCCTGAGCCCACAGCATTACTAATCCACTAATTTAACACTTCCACAGTACCAGAGAGGAAAATTGTGTAAGCATGTTCAGCATTGAAATCACTGCAGGATTAACTAGGGAAAAAAAAAACCTTCAAAAATCATAAATATCTTTAATTACAAGACTGGCAAGGCAAGTTATGAAAGAACCACAAGATTTTGCTTTAAGATCAGGTGTAGCAGTTGCCTTCAAATATGGAAGTCTCTATGATAGGAAGCACAAGTACTCAGTGGTAAGCTACTAACACTATGGACCTATGTTGTGTTCAATCCTAAATTGCTATTTTATACTTTTAAAAACGTCATTCACCACCTAGACAACAACCTGGGGACATCTCTCTTCTACTAGAAAGCACACCGCTGCCACAGAGGCTCTGTTAGAATTAAGACACTGATTTTAAGTGAAAACCCCAACAGTTCTGTATCAGCACTGGAAGCACAAATGGAGTGTTTTCAATCATGGGCGATCTCAATACATACAAGCTTCACACAGCAAGAGCCAGAAATGCTTAGCTCTCACTCAAGCTCCGCAAAAAAAGCTGGCAGGTTAGCAGTAGCAAGCAGCTCCTAGTCAGGCGTTTAAGTAGGAAGCACTGGATGCTGAGCTTCTCACATTCTGACTTGATGACAGGTTTATTTATGCCTGATTGTAGGAGATTTGCACTGACATGAAGTGTTTCAAAGGTGTTTGAACAGTAAGAATCTTCAGATACACGAGAACTACAGAAAATTAAAGAGCCCATTGATTTAAGGGATGTAGCACTTAAAAAAAAAATCCAACAACAATTTTTTTCTCTAGAATAGTAAATTGAAAACCAGATAGCATTCCAGCATGTTATCTCCAAATAAAATCTTATATTTTGAGAACTGTATAGAATTCTATTTCTGTTCCATGTAGAATTACTTGCCTTGGAAAAAAACATATATAGCACCGCCTTCACTTAAACTGATTTCCACCACAGAAAAGTATTAACCTGTTGAATACCTTCATGCCAATTGTATAGGAACAAAAATTTACATTTCTTTCAATATAAACAACTTAATATCTAGAAACCTCCAGAACACCAAGGTCTTCCAAATATCCTTTTGTTTAGGTCTAATAAGTTTGATCAAAGAGCAAATGTTATTAGGAGTTATTTTGTACCAGAAACTTAAAATCATAAATAGCTGTCCTGTATGGATTCCCTATAGTGATTTCTGCTTTTCAGCAAAACTGTCTTACGAGGACTCATTAACATGCTCATCCTTTTGGGAAGCACACAGTCCTTATTTCATCATGTACTAGGCAGCAGCCAGCTACACTGGGCATATGCATGTCATCACGTAGAGAATTTACTTAAACTCCACCCCTCTCCCCCCACCACACATACGATAAATCTGCACTTTGAGCCAACTTTAAATACAGAATAATGAACCAGTAATTATCTTGTAAGTGAACCAACACTAGTTTGTATTCTTCCCTGAATAATACTTTTTCTTTGCAGAAGAGAAAAAAGGACTGCTACAGAAACACAGCAACATTCAAACCCTTTAAAACAAAAGGTAGATTATTTAATGCATTAACGATGTTAATCTGAAGATAAATAAATCCACAACAGACTTAAGTTTCTTTCGAGATTTCCTTTTTCTTTGCAGAGAATATTTCTGATATTATACAGTACTGAGAGGGTGTTCTTTTATTTTCTTAATGTCCAGGTGAAAAGCAAAGCTCAGTTCTCTCTGCTCTCTTCGTGGAACTCCTCAATGCCCTATTCCAGGCGTGATTCTTTCATAAGCTTTTACTTGAAAGCTGAGTGGTGAGCAACATTAATTTCAGGAATAACTGGATGGTTTGGTCCCTGAGTCATCTTCTTGAGAGCCCATACTCTGGAAGAGAGAGAGTTATTTCTTTTCAAAAACAGGTTTGAAGGTTTACCTTTGAGACAAACAGTTCTTTGAAGTTAACAGGTAGGAAAATAAAGTGTATATGAAATAACATGCACTTCCTTTTTGTTTTAAAGCATGGTTTATGAATGTATTAGTATTAAATAGTATTATTATGTAATTAATCCCACTGTAAATACTGACATTCAGTGCAACACACACTCACTGCACTGAATCTCTTACATACTCTTACAAGACACTAAATCAATTACCTTCTGCACAAACTGAGGGTTCACAGTGATCTCTTGATCCATGGCTTTCAGTCGTTCATCAAGCTCTATACATTTCAGCATCTTAAAAATATATATACTAAGTTGATTACTTTGTCCAGCTTGCACATGATCTTCAAGATATTTCATGGCTTTGCTATGTAGAACCGGTAACTTTTGCCATCACAAAAGCTCCATGTCAAAACATTCTCATCCCTCATCTCCCAAACAGAAGTGTCAGACCCTTTTTTTTTCCTGTTATTTTGATCCATGTCTTTCTAAGAGTCCTTTTTAAGGCCATTGATAGACAGTCCCACGTGGATCAAACACCTCAACCTACAGGCAGGTTATCGACAGCCAGTGGAAGTGATCCTTGCAGGCTAAAACTCTAAAAACAATCTTCCTAATCCATTCAATTCAAGGAACTTCCCATCATCAACATTAAGCAGTCAGTCGACTGAAACGTGTCAAGCTGTACAGAAGATGCAACAGGGAACGCACTGACAGTAATTGGCTATCAATCTAAACCCTTTAAACACTGTGAAATAGTCAAATAATGATTCATAGTCTTCAATCTCTACATGTAAATTACCTACACTGGCTCCTCCCAGCAGCTCTCTGATTACAGACTAAGGTTCTTTGGTAGGAATTCCAAAAGCAGTTAATATCTTAAAGATTTACCTCCTGATCAATGTTATGAAGCATAGCTGGATTGTTATATTTTTCAGGATTATCATGGAAACAGACCATACCATCTTTCTGATTAATACTTGCAAAGATTTCACCATCTTCTATCTGAAATGAGAGAGGGTTTAATGCAGGATATCACTAAGAACAGAATTTCAGATAACTACAACACAGACTCTTTGTGGAATCATCTTTAACTTGTTTGCTTTTATTTCCTAGCAGCTTCCCAAACCTTATCTTCAGTGGACCTCTTTTAAGATTTTTTGAGAACAGTCTGAACACAGCAGACTGACAGTATTTCTTTTACCCTGAAAGAGAACCAGCCATTCAGAACATGTACTGCCAAGCCAAACACTTAAAGCGTCTTACGTCGGATCAATTTTTAAATTAGGATAGTGTTACCAAGTCACAAGTCTTACCATGTGGAGGACGTATTTTTCTGCTTCTTGAGGCCCCGACAACTGCACTCGACTTGCCATATCTTGTAATGACAATGTTAAAAATGTCTGAAATTTAGAAAAGCATCAAACAATTAAAAACTAAATGTTAAGAACTTTCCCTATCAATCCTTCATGGCTTATGCAATCTTATTTTTGAAATCTGATGGGAAGAAACAAGTGGAACACATAGTTATTACTTATAAAAAGCACCATGAGAGTGGAGTCAGTTCTTCGTCCAAAGACATTCACTTGTTATACTGTGAATGTAGGCAGACCACACTAACGGAGTCACTACTCCATTTCTGCAGTCCCTTTTTACCCCAGACAGTCCTGACCACGTCCGACCTCTTCCCTCACCTTTTTACATGAATAAGCTCCATCCCTTGAATTTCCTTCAAGAGATGCATGTATTGCTTTCCTTCTGAGGTTAGTTCTACTGCAGCAAACATCATTTGAACTTGCCAAAAAAGAGCTTTCCCCTGATCATCTTTAAGGATTAATCTGATCTCTCAGCTGAAGGAGCACATCACTCCACCGCTTCTGGTTTTCCTTTTACTTCAGACACTTCGAGAATCTGTCCTATTCACTCACTCTTCTCTAATGAAGTAGCCCGTAAAGTTCAGTTTTCCTATATTTTGAATAGAGGGGAAAGTCATTGGGTAACAACACTCACATTTTTTTTTTTTATTATGTATGAAAATCTCACGGGCAAACCCCTCTGATAGACAGACATATTGAAACACCTTTTAAACAGTGCATAATAATGCCAGCTGAACTGGTTTTCTATATTTAGTCTCATTTGTTTCAGAGATCTCAGTTTTAGTCATTTCTCTGTGACGTTACTACATTCTAATTTTGCCCTGAATTGAATACATTTCAGAGATGCACTCTTTGAGAAAAACTAATCACAGTTTCTCAACAAAACAAAACCCCTTACCTTGGTTAGCCTCTGAATATTCTTTTTGTAGAGAGATGACAAGCATTGCTTAACCAGCCCCATATTGTTATCCCTTGTGAATGTTTCACTGTGTTTGTTCACCAGATTTCGAAGCTCCGAGGGTTTATTGGTTGAATAAACTTGCGCTAATTCATGGTAAGCATTGCTAAGGGGCTGCAATTAGAAAAATGAGAACCCTTCTTAAAGGACACAGTGTTCAACCAGCCTCACAAAATCTATTCACTACTTCGACATTAGAAGCCACGCAGGCATAAAATATGTGATGCCCATCAATGGCTTTACAGCAACAACAGATCTTCATACACTAAATCTGTATTACTGCAACATAAGATTTTGTAAACATCATTCAAGGACCTCTGTACAACAGCTTCAGTTATGGCAGTGCAAGAAAAAGTCCATTAGCTGACCAGCATATGAAGTAAGCTGAATTCAAGGCAAGCAGCATACTGACTAGTCACTGCCCATCCATTATATTTGTTCTACCTTCTAAGACATCATCATCCTCAACAACAATGCATCACAGCACAGACAGAGAATCACAGGGTGAAGACTAGTTCACCTAAATTTAAAATGGCAACTGTTTAAGCTTGCTTATTAGTATCTGAAGTTAGAAGAAGATTTTTGGAACTCTTTAAAGTTTTGCTCACAAATCAAACTCAGTGCTAAGTAAGAACTTTTAGGTGTGTTATTTACCTAAGATCAGGACTCTTGCTAGCAGTTTTGTCTTCCAACCTACACCTCCTAATCAGAATGCTTATGGATTCTAAACTTGCAGCTTTTTCAGAAGCTTTTATTTTTTATAAAGCGGGACTTTTGGAATAAACTGTTTAGCATTTCATACTTCAACTAGATGAAGTTATGGGTTGAGTGTTTTTACAAGGACAATGCATATTGATTGGAAACCTGAGTCTTGCTTCAGTTCTAACATAAAATGCTATCAAGGGATGTGCAGTATCAGTGAAGAGAATATTGGTAAGTACTATTCAACCCTAAAATTTTTTTTAAATTCAAGTTTAAAAACCTGTATTGCCAATACAAACGATAGTTTGTTTGTAATAGATGTAGAAGTTGCCAGACAATCTTTAGCTACTGTATACTAGAAAGGCAGCAAGAGGTTGTACTCTGGCACATTGTGCATTACTTCCCATGATCTACAATGTTAAACAGTACCATCAAATGAGGGTGGGGGAAAAAAAAAAAATCATTCACAAATTGAGTTTTGTTGTTCTATTATTTAGCTGTATTCGCAAGACTTACCTTAATGAATCTACCAACTATCTGGGAAGTGTATTTTGGTAGCTGCTGAACTTTGCCAAGTAGTATCAAAGAAACTAGAATATACTTTTTATATGATTCCAACATAATATGACTGACTGCCATGGCTGGAGTAGTTATTGCCTAAGCAAGAAAGAAAAAAATTAAATAGAAATTCAGTATACTTACTGGTAGATCCTGGTAGCTACTGCATTAACAGAAATCTCAGTTTAAAGCTGCATGCAGAAAGGATACAATGACATATGGAATTTACCTTTGAGAATTAAAGCTTAACTAACTTCTGTCAAAATTAATTATCCAAAAATGTCCTAAAAAGGTAAGTTCTATACAAGCTACTCAAAACATCACTTTAGAGTGATGCCTACCTTCAAATATCCCTGTTAAGATCGGATCAAAACTTCTTTCCTCGGTATATATCTAAAGTTGTACTAGAAAATCATCTGTAGCTACTTGTTACCAGGAATGCTTATACATTTCCTGTAGAACCTGGATTCACACAGATCCTTAAAGAGGTTTTATAAAGCTATGACAACATCAGATCTCATATTTAAGTATGCTGAAAGAGGTCTGCAGAATAGGGAAAAGGGATTTTAGTTTACTATGATACTGCTAGCTACTCAAGAGCTGACCCTTGTTTACAGAAAAGAAATATGCTGCACCAGTTTATTTTGCACATTTGACAACATTTCCCTCTCATACACACAAAGTTTTCCCTGTTTTGCAATTTTCTCTTCCTTCACAGAGAAAGTAAAAGCAACAAATATTGTAATACCATTGAAGAAGTGTAACACCCTTCGTAAACTCAGCAAAGGTCTTAGCAAAACCAATGGACTATTTTTTCTTTAAGAATACACAATTCTGAATGTCAGCCTGTGAACTGTTTCTATGCTAGCAGTAATAAGCAGGCATCTGAAAAATATTTATAGTGAGATAAATTTAACATCAGCCTTTGAGTTGCTTAGTTTTATGGTGGAATAGTTACTTGGCTGTAAAAGACCTTCTTACAGGAAAACACCTCTAAAGGCAGTTTGCTTGTTACTTGACTATACACTGAAGAGTACCATTCAGGCTGTACCTTTCAAAAACGAGGTAACAGTGAACACCAACCCAAATCAGTTTTTACGTATTACTATGATGAACACACATGCTAAACCAAAACCTATGTGAATGATGAACAGCAGAATAGATCTGCCAGTAGAACTACATTCTTAAGGTTAAGAATGAAAATAACTGGAGACTGCTTGTACTTTATGTCAGGTTCACAGCTTCCATTGCTATCCCTGGGGGCAATTCAAAGATGCTATGTTCTCTCAGCACTATTACACATCCTACTTTTGCCTTTCGACTGATCATGCTTCAGACTTACCATTTTATTTAAAGTTACCTGTTCATAAAAGTAGAGTGCTCTCTCAAAGTTCTTTAGCCCAGTGTATATCATCCCACCATAGTAGTAGTAACATAAAAAGTGCTTCGCATCATATGCCCCATTCTCTTTACAAATATCCATCATGTCCACATCTAGATACGGGAGGGCAGGTTTAAAGCATTTTGCTAACAAACAGAGCTACAAGAAAATAAATCAATTTTTCATAAATTAGCCATTTTCATTCAAATTTCGATAAGGAAGAAGTTGAAACTAAATTCATCTAGTACTATTTAATAAATCTCACTCCTCTGGGTGGAAAGACAGCACACATCAGTAGTGCTGTAACACAGTTATTCATTGTACCACGATATTTGGAAAACCCTTAACACAGACTGTGAACTGTTCTAAACTATATGAATCCTGAAGAAACTGGACTCTGACAAAGCTGCTTGAAACTCCAGGCCTTTCAGACTACAGTGCTGGCAGCACTAAATATTGCACTAAACATTCCTGTCCAACCCTAAATCCCAGGAGCCAAGAATGAGACAGAAGTGCAAATCCAGGCCAAAGACACCGAGACAAACATGCCTTTTGTCAAACTTGAGCAAACAGTATCTGGATATTACGCTTATACTGCCTAAGACAAGCAGTGTGTGACTTTCAGCCCAGACAGAAGGGATGTCAAAGGACTTTCAGGAGTCAACAACAAAAGCAAAGATCCAGGGACATGCACTGAACATTTAAAATTAATAGAAGAGGATTTTATTTCAGTATATCGTATTATTTATTACTGAAGATAAAACAGCTAAAAGCCATTTTTACATTGCATTATGTGAACATGCATTTCCTCAAAGAGTTATAGGTATTCTATAAGCTTTTACTCTTATAAAAAGCCCTTATGCTCCCTCCTTACCTGGCAGAGATCTGCGTGTATTGAGGTCAGCTGGTTTGTGTTCATCTGCATCTTGTCTATGGCTTGTCTGAGAATGCTAATTCCTCGCAGGGGCTGTCAGAAATTACATCTCTTTCAGATAATTTCTCATAGATGGCAGCACATTGGATCTTATGTTGACACTTACAAATGAAAAATAACACTAATTGACAGGTTCCATTAAGTAATAGTTAACTTGAGGTTCCCTTTTTGTAGGATACTGCAGACTCTCAGAAAATAAAATTAACCTTGGCTATACAACTTCTGATAAACTGAAGTCATCAATTCTGCTCCACAAAGCCAACCTCATCAGGAATACAGTCATTTGTATCAATAAGAAAACCTTTCATGCCTCCGTGATGCCATCTACGCTCCCACCAAATAACAAAGGCAAGGCTCCCGCTTTACTCCACTTCGACGAGACTTGATCTCTACTTCTATTTCAGGCTAGATTTCACTAAAGTGGCCTGAAAAAAGCCACTATCTTAGCAACAAAAACATTGGTCAAATATTTCTTAATCAAGTTTCCTTTACATTTCAAGGCTTTTCATTAGGAACATTATATAACACTGGTGAGAATAACACTAAAACTAGTATCACTGACTCACCAGTGCTAATAATTTTTTCAGCTCTCCTACTTATGCACACATCATATGAAGAACATTCTTGGTACTACAGATTTCCTGGTTTGTGTGAGAGAGCACATTTTTAGGTGACTGTCTCCCCAAAATTTTATCCTCCTTACATTTTCCTTAAAGAAATCTTAAAATCTTGGTTTAGGTTCACTACCTCTCAGTAAACCTAACACATGAGGAGCTACACAAAAACACTTAACATGAAGTTAGTGGCAAATCTTTATGAAAGAATTAAGAGACTGGTAACATCCCCTTTAAGAGCGTGGATATGTAGGCAGCTTATTTATACTAGAGGATACTTGCTCACCTGTTTTCTTTCCACAAGGGCATTTGTTAACTGGTGGCAGAGGCCAGCAACTAAATACAGTAAAAAACAAAGAAACCCAACAGTGAAAAATCAGTAATACCAAACCATCAAAAAACATACAGAGTCTGAAAGTAAGCTTAACTTACAAGTGTCTGTTGCATATCTAATGTGTTCCCCATTACAAGTGCTGATAAAAAGCTGCACCTGCGAGAATAATGTTTCGAAGTCAGGGATGCTGGGCATAGAAAACTTCACAAACCTAAAACAAACAAGCAAAAAGGTTTAGCACTTAACATTTGGAGATTAATAAAAAAGCTTCATCTTCATCACTACGTCTCTGCAGATGCATGTAGATGCTTGCAAACAAATCCTAAGTGTTTATGACAGATGGCATACAATTTCCCCAGGAACTGCTCAACATTTGAAAATATGCTTTCCACGCACAGCCCCAATTCTCAGTCTAGTACAAACTACAATTTAGAACAAACTATGGAGAACAAAGATCATTTTATCTGCTACAACAGTTACAATCATAATAACACTGGCTAACAATGATGAATTGCAATAGTCAGCCACAGAACTTCTCTGCACACTTTTGCCTATCCTACAGCCATCTCCTGCTTCAATGTGCTCAAGATTTCTCAACTATTAAATTATTAGATGTATCTCGTTAGGAGCTCCTTCTCTTCACTTCCAGTTTCTCTCCATCTCTGGTGGCTCCTCAACACCCTGTAGGCTGTAGCCTTGCACACTGCTTCTTCTGTAAGATGAACTATGATTATGCTCATCTGAAGGCAATGAAAACTCTAGCTATGCATCCTACAAATGTCACAAAAACATACAGAAAAAACTGTTTAACAGTGTTGGAAGATACCCAACCCTGCCCATACTCCAGTTGCTATACACTGCAATATGCAGTTCAAACCTACCTAGATCATCAGCTGTCCTTCCCCACAAGGCTTATGACTGTCCAGGCTACATGCTGCCACCCCTTCCCTGTCTCTTCAGAGTCTTACTCTACCAGTGTAGGAGTTTGCCATGCCAGTTTCAGCCAGGAGAGCTTTCCTATACACTCCACTGATACCATCTCTTCAAATAATACATATTATTTCTTATACATAGTTATCTTCCTCCACCTGTTTTAATCACTGTTTTCATATACCCCATGACACTAACACAGTACTGATGCCCTGCTTTTTGTAAATTCCATGATGCATTTTTATGAGATGCCAGTGAATTGTAACATTAAAGTGCATTATCTCTATGTATAACAGTATTTTTTTTTTAAAGGGTAGTAGAACAAGTACTACAATTCTTATCTTTCCTTTAAAAGTGAACTTTAAAACAATAGTGAAACCTGTAGACACTTCACTTGCTGTTAGATACAGCTATAAAGAACAGTTTGAGCTTCAGGGCCAAATATCTTTACCTTACCTCAGCATTGCCAAGGCAATTCAAGTATTATCTTAAACTACAGACAGCAGCAAAAACCTCAATGCTGTCTAGAGACAAACACTCAATAACTATGATAAGAACACATGCTTCACTGGAAAAAAAACCCTCTTCCTTCATGCTTACAAGTTCAGCACACTAATGCCCTGCCAATCAAGTTTTCAAAGTTTTGAAACTTTCTGGTGAACACATATAGAAGAATATTCATAAAGACATAAACAAGAAAAATAGATACAGCCTTAAGGAAAGCAAGCCCCCAATATTAACATTTGACAGTAATGGCATTTAAAAGCTCCAGAGGTTTTTTTGCTTTTGAAAATACAAATTTGCCTTGGTATTTTTATTAATAAAATGTGCATCACCGAAGGAAATGAAGCACCATTCTCAGAAATGCAGACTGAAAATATTTATGGCCAAAAGAAAAACATCTGGTTGACAATTCAGCACATTGCCTGAGGTTTTAATACTAAGATACGTAACTAAAAGAAAGCAACACTTACAAGACAGCAAGAACACCTAATGAGTGCTCCTGGACATCCAGGGCACCAAGCACTGTATCCAGATGGGAGAGATTTTTTGCTAGCAGTTCTCCGCTTTTATTGATCAATTCACAAAGCTGGGTCATTTGCCCTGAAATAAAAAACATAGTTGTCAAACTCTAATTAAAGAACATTCACGCATTCCCATATTTCATTATACCTTGCTTCCCTATATAACCTGAGGAAAAAGTAGTATCACCCAGGGAATTTACTCTTTAATACAATAGGCATTAGCTTTCTATAAGTGAGATACCCACTGTATGTTTTTTATAAGGTGACAGATAAGCTTCTGGCCTTTGGGATTGCAAAGGAGGCCCTCAGAATACAAACACAACGTGAAAAGCGGCATCAGCTCACCTTGTCAGAGAGGGGGCTTCAGGGTCTTCTATCAACGCCAAGCTCCATCTAAGCCAAGTCTGTAAAACTTTGACCACTGTACTGTGATGCAAAATTTTGCCTCGTGTGGATAAATGTATCTATACTTGTGTCTTCTAGGTGTTATAAGGGAATGAAAACAAAACCAGAAGACTACTAAAAAGTTTCCTCCGTTTTCTAATAAATGACAATACCAGAGCTTGTTCCTTGCTGCTTCTCAAATGCCCTATCCACTTTCCAGGCCTGCTTATAAGCAATTTTTTGGAAGTAGACATTAAAATAATAACTAAATACCTACAACAAAAGGATTTAAAAATCTGTTCTTAAATTTATTTCACATAATTAAAACTACAATGTTATTCTATTTGTTGTGAGCTATGTACACAGCATGAAAGGCAACTATTTTGAATTGGGAAGGTACAGTAAGCCCAAAAAACCTCACAAAGAAAGGAGACCAATTATCATGAACTGCTTTCAAACTCTTTCTCCTTCTCCCCTGCCAATTACTTGAATTAAAACTATGCCTTTCTGAAGCAGAGTATTGTTTCAATGTTCAATCCTTGAAGATTAGAGGAAAAAACAGAGGTTCGCACACCCTTATGAAAGTCTTCATAAAATGAGGAATAGTGCCTCCATTCATAGAGACTTACACTGTCCTCAACTCTCTGGCCTTTTCCTTTGAAAAAGAAAACCTGGGAAGCCCAGCAATGAAACATTAGCTTTGAAGTAACAGAGGGATCAAAAGTTCCAAATGGGTGACCAGAGCCCAGGAACTCCAGAAACTCATCCCACAAACCGCTCTCTCCATATGGAATTAAAATTCCAGGCTTAAGCATGGAAAGGAATAGGGCTTGTAAAAATCTGTGGTTTGATAACAGTATTCAATGGATTGCAAAACCTTTGTTCTGGTGTCCTCCCTTGTAGAGAAATCTACCCATTCTACAGCTATCACCCAGCATGCCCCTAAAAAACCCAAACCAACCCTCTACCCACACACACACACTGAATAACTTACAATACAAGTAAAAATACCCGCATCAGGCCCAACTAAATGTCCATTTATGTGCCCTCCTGTGCAACCAAATGCTGGTAACCTCAAACTAACACCACTCACTACAAGTCCATGGACTTCTCCTGAGTGCTCTCATAACCTCCAGCAGCCTGTCTCGTGTCTGGATTTACTTTCTCACCGTGAATGTCTATCTGGCTCTTCCCTAACGGAAAAACTTCCATAAAGTCAGTCAGTCTCCCCTTGAACCTTTCTGCATCCACAAAACCTCGTGATAAAAAGTTCTCCAGCTAAACTACCCACATACAAAGAATAATCTTTCATCTGTTTGTGTCTGCACCTTGTGGGTATAATTTGTCTCTTGTATCCGATAACCCCAGTAAAAAAACCTCTATATGTAGTAAGTTAAAGGATTGTGAGAGAAAGTTGGAGCTCCACCCAAAAGTAACTGCCAGAGATAAAGCTTGGGACCGTAGAGAAAAGCATCAATTTTTGATCAGTTCCAGGGAGCAAACGTCCCATGCCAAGAAACACGCAGAACACATTTTAGGGAGCATCAGCACAGACAGAAAGTTCAAGAACTAGCAAACGCTGTGTCCACACACAGGAAAATGGGGAGTTTGGCAACGAAACTAAGGAATTCTAACTATGGTTATTAAAGCACCTCCTGAACACTTGGTTATAGCAACTCTGACGTACGGTCTCAGGCCTCCTACCATCCACTTTCCTGGTAAGGCAGGGCTCTTCTGCCCATGCTCTACTTTGTCCCCAGGAGCTAACATTTCTGAAATGCATTTTAAAGCACACACGCCACAACTTGCACGCTCATCAGTTCGGCGACAGGCTGGGCTGTGTAATCCTAAAGTCCCCGCGAAGCCCGCTCCCCCCCCCCCAACTCATTTCCAACGCTCAGATTTTGGCACGACCGCCGGTGCCGGCTTCGCCCCGCTCACCCGGGACCTCCAGCTCCCGAAAACCTCACCGCTGCCCTGAAAGCATGGGGAAAGGCACAACCGGTGTGCTGGCAAACCGGCGGCTGCGGAACCGCCCCCCCACCCCCCCCCCCCCCGCCTCCGGGCACCGCGGCGAGGGAGCGCGCAGCCCCGGGGGGGTTGGGGGGGGGGGAGCGGGGGCGCCGGCCCCGCGGCTGAAGGAGAAGCCGTGAAAGGCGGCAGGCCCCGGCCCGCCTACCCGCTGCCCACACCGAGCGAGGCCCAGCCGCCCCCCCCGCTCCCCCCGCCGCCTTTTCCCGGTCCACGCACGCCGCTCTCCCCCGCCGCCCCCGCTCCCGGTCACCTTGGGCCGAGAGCTGCCGGACACTGTTGACGAACTGCTCCAGGGCCGACGCCATCTTGGCGGCTGGCGGCGCGGCCGCGCGCGCTGCGGGCGGGGCGGGGCGAGGGGGGCGGGGGGGAAGGGGGGGCGGCGCGGGCCGGGAGCGGCGGGGGGGGGGGGGGGGGAGGGGGGAAGGGAAGCGGGAAGGAACCACCGTTACGGGCGCCGCCACCGCCAGCCAATCAGCCGCTGCGGCGGGGGCCGCGGAAACGCCCGCCGCCGCGCGTCACTTCCGCCGCGCCACCGCCTCTCGCGAGGAACCGCGGTCGCCGCGGCAACCGGCCCCGCCCAGCCCGCAGCGCGAGGGAGGCCCTGGCGGCGCGAGAAGCCGTGACTCAGCAGGGCCGCCGGGGGTGGGGTGGGGTTATTGATGATGGCGTCATGGTGGCGTCATCGCGGCGTCATCCCTCCGCCCCGCTGCCCCGGGGCCCTCAGCGGGGTCCCGGCTCTCCGGGGCGGCGGGCGCTGAGGGGGTTTCACCCCTTCGAGGGGGGTGACGCGGCGGCTGCGTCACTCTGAGTTCTTCCTTCGGGTGAATTCGGTTTAGGATCTGATGCGGCGAAGTAACGCGGTCCCGAGTTGCTGCAGGCAGGGCGTCTGTCCTCCAGTACGCCATGAGGAAGGAAACCATTCTGGCAGTCACAGCAATAAATATTAAATTTTACACCCATACATACACGTATCCCCTTGCTGCTTAGTCGGAAACTTCCAAGTTACGTCGAAATCCCGTCCCTTGCAGTAAGCAAAACGCCTCCGATGCACGCGAAAGCAAAGCGCTGACGTGAAAAGTCACGCGTTTTCCCTCCGAATCTCGGTGCTCACCATGACACCCAGCCTTGGCTGCTGGTTCTGCGCCTTCCTTTGCTCGCACTCTGACCTTCCCCGCCTCACCTGATCTTTACAGCTCATTTGCCCTTTCTGCGAAACAAGGACAATATATCCCACTGGAAAACACTCTGGAATTGAAAGATGAAATATTTTGGGACTGCTAAAGCCGTATTATTGCCCTCGATCGAAATCTCTTTCCCAGCTCTGCAGTTGCCAGATCCCCTTAGTCACACTCAGAGGCCTCCCCCTTCCTTAGTAGCTTTAATCCCCCCAGTTTTTTGACCAGAGTGATCTTTGGTTCTGTGTCCTTTACGGTGTGCTGTCAGCGCTTCTTTTGGGTCTGGATATTGTCTTTTAAGGGTTCCTGTCACCAGCGGGGACAGAGCTGTGCCACAGCCTGAAATCCTGGACAGAGCGTGCCCCCACCCCATGGATGGGTAGAAACGAAATGTATTTTATGTCAAGCTGCAAAAATCACCATGTCACTTATGACACACACACACACACACACCCCAAATCACGGCCATTTGCCCCCAAAGACGCACCCACACAGGCATGGCGGCTGCAGCGGGGGGGGTTGGCAGGGGATGGAGGGGAGAGAGAGGGTCTGCAGCAGGCAAGGGGAGATGGAACGCTGTGGGGTACCCCCGAGGCTGAGAGGGAAACTGAGGCAGGGGCTCGGCACCCCCCGGCCCCAGGGAAGGGGAGGGAGCGGGGTTTAAAGCCGGGGGGGGGGGGGGGGGGGAGCCGCGCCGTCGCAGGGCGTTTATGCCGCTTTAAGGCGGTGCCGCAGCTCCCGGGCTCGGTCAGGCACCGGGAAGAGGAACTGGGTTTTGCACTACCGGGTCGGGGCGAGCGCACCGCCGTGTACCGGGCGGCCCCGGTCCCCCCCTTCCCCATCATCATCATCCTCCTCCCCAACCCCACCTCCCCCCCCCCCCACCTACCCCCCCTCCGCTGCTGCTGCGGCTGCCGCCTCGCTGCAAGGGAGGGATGGGGCGGGGAGGAGGCGCTGGGGGCGAGGCCGGGCCTTTGCATCCCCCCCGCACCCCCTCCGCAGCCCCCCTGCTCCCCCTTGCATCCCCCCTGCTCCCCCTTGCATCCCTTTTGCTCCCCGTTGCATCCCCGTTGCATTCCCTTTGCATCCCCCCCTGCTCGCTCCTTCTGCTGCAAGGGGACGTGCTTGCCAGGGCTGCCTGCTTGCTGCAGGGTGCGTGCTTGAAATAAAATCCCCCCAACCTCCTCCTCCCCCGCCCCGAGCACCCCCTCCATCATGATTTTGCTGAGCAGCTTCTTGCACCTTCGGCTTCGCCGCTGCGGCCCCTTCGCAGGGCTGGGCAGGGGGGTCAGCCCCGCAGTGGGGTCCCGCAGGGCTCTGCGGGTGCTGGTGGACATGGACGGGGTGCTGGCTGACTTCGAGGGAGGCTTCCTCAAGAAGTTCAGGGCCAGGTACCCCGACAAACCCTACATTGCCCTGGAGGACCGGAGGGGCTTCTGGGTGTCGGAGCAATACGGGCGCCTGGGACCTGAGCTGAGTGTGAGTTTATGCATCCCCCGGCTCGGCGCGTTTCGTTCGCTCTGCACCGTGCGGCTGGAGCTCTGGCCCCACGGGACCCACTGGCCCCCAGCTCGTGGGTGCAGTGCTGGGGAGGGCTGCGGGTGCTGGACGGGGCTCCCACTGCCACCCAGGTACAGGTCTGCACACAGGAGGGCTTCCAGTGGTCCTTTTTTTCCCAGAAATCCAGCATTTTTCATGCACGTCTGTCTCTTATTTTCCCTGCATGTGTGGATTCAGATAGACGCAAGGAAAGGAGATCTTTCAGAACATTTGTTTTACAATACCCCAAATTGCATAGCTGTGTTTTTCTAGGTCTGATTTGGCCAAGCTGTGTGGATTGATACCGTTCTTAGACAGCTTGTTTAGTTCCTCAACAGCAATGTGAGGAGTGGGACGCAGCAGAGAAGTTGAGAGCAAACCATGCAATTGATGCTTCATGTGAGGGCTTACTTAAAACAAGCCAAAGCCCTCCCATGCCTGGAAATTATTGTATTCATTTTAATAATTAAAGCCTAAAAGCAAAGGCTCTCTTTATGTTGTACTTTATCATTCAATGAATCTTGATGGGATGTCTGTGGTCTCGTCTGCGGATTGCAGTTGCACTAGTTGAAAGGTGTTACAGCAGATAAAAGTATTCTTGTCATTAGTGGTACGATGACTACAAGGAAGGGAATGTGAATAAGATCTTGGGCTTTTGCCACTGGCAAAGTCATAAACGGCTTGATGAGCTGAAGGAATAACGTGTCCTCTCTAGCTGGGATTGATGAAATGGAAATGGAGGACATCATTCATGCAGAAAGGCAGGTGCTAAAAGTTTGGCAGGGGTAATGCATGATAACTCATATTTTTTCTTGATCATAACTACTTTGGATGTGTTAACTGAAGTGAGCTCATCTTGTGTCTGCTGTGATCACGTAAAACCACCAAAACCTTGGCCTGAACAAGTAGCAAAACTTCTACAGACCAACTTCAGGGCAGCCCTGATTTAACCTGTGATTTCAGCCCAGGGATATAGAGTAGGAGCTGCTCTGTGGCTATGGGCACATGGGCTGTTCCAGTCCCTCCTTGTCAGAGAGCACCATGGACCTGCTGTAGGAGACCAGAAAACAGGAGCCAAAGAGTCCAACAAGCTGAAGGTCCCAGCTCTGAAAGGGAGAACAACAGCTCAGCAATAGGCCGAGCACACAGACCTGGAATGGTGGGGAGCCTGGACCGGCAGGGAAATTGCCTGTGGGGAGAGATTAGAAGAAGGAAATCGAGGGTCCATCCTGCCTGGCACGTGGTAGGATTCCCAGCCTGGGGGATTTTTCCATCTGCTGGGCAGTGTGCTGGCTGCAGTGCCGCAGGGAGTTACTCTGGCTCTGGAAGCCAAGCGGGTCTTTTCTTCAAGATGAGCTTAGTTCTTCCCCCATTGAGCTTGATTGCAAAATGCTTTTTGACATAAGTGGAAGCAGAATCGCTATGGAAGTCCTTGCTGTAAGGAAACACTTCATCACAGTTTGAAGTGCTTTGCTACATCAGGCCACATTTCTCAAATGTCTCTTGTGCAACTACAGTCAATATCTTGAAAATAAAACATCGGTGCTCACTGGTCTAAAAAGAACGACTTGAGTTTGAATGTTTGCATGGCCCTGTGGCAAACTGTTAGAGTAGCTGTTCTTCTCATGGTGCCAGGAGGCATTTCTGCTGGCCCTCTTGCACTGAGTCAGTCTGTTTAATTTTGAACATATATGAAGAAGGTTTTTCTTCTCTCCTCTAAACCACCGATGTTTTCTGCTGCTCAGGCAAAAGGGAAGAGTGCAACAGCTGAGCTGAGTAGTGTCTCCTTTTACGTTGGGTGTCTGGTCTTCTCACGCCAATCTGGGAATTTTTGAGAAATACAGGGTTCGATTCTGGCATGTCATGTTAAATGCTCAGTGCCCAAATATGTGATGGGTTCATGCCTCCATCATCCTGAGAGCAGGCAAGGTGTGCAGCCAGCGCCTTGGCACAGCCAGCAGGATGAAGCAGAACATGACGCCCGGAGTGAGCCCGGCGTTTGGAGCATTGCTGCCCTGAGCCTGAAGTTCACAGCAAGGCCCCAGTTGCTCATGGTTGCCTGCTTTTTCCCCTCAGTACAGGTGTAATAAAGGCAAAACGTTGTGGTTACCCACTGGATTCCCACTCATCGGGTGGGAGGGAGCTGCACGTCTCTCTGGTGTACGCAACCAGCCTTTTTGTTGCTCTGAGCTGTAAGAATCAGCACACAAGCATCACCAAGGCTGCTCTCTCCTCCCTTGATGCTCTGCCAGCTCCTCCATACAAGGCCAGGATGGGCTTTAAGTTCCTTTTGTCCCTATCCCCTTACCTCAAATACAGAAACAGAGGTGCTCCAAATTAAGATCAATCCTTCAGGGCAGGGCTCCCTTCAAAACTTCTCCCAGCCGCGGCTGCGACGCTGGGACGGGGCTGCTTCCTCCACCTGCAGCTGTGTTGCAGCATTCCCAGGCTCTCCTCCCCGAGGGTCCAGTGTCCGTGCAAAATAATTGCTTTGCTTGGCAGCTGACAAGCCGTTACCTGTTTGAGGGGGTGCAGGGGATGGTGTTTATTAGATCTGTGCTAGACTCATCTAAGGCAGTCCCAGGACTCTGCCCTCGTCCCAAGATTTCACTCCCTGTGGTCTCCCTCTGCTCCGTTCTCCCAGCTGCCAACCTGGATATTAAATGTTTCAAACCCTTGCCTGGAGATGCTGCATTTGCCTGGTAGACTTTGCCCAGGCATCCCCGAGGAAGACCATCTGCACTCATCCTGACATGCATTTCATCTTATAATATACTTTCTCCTTTGAGATCAGCCCAGCTGCTATTTTAAGTGATCTGATTGAGACAAATAGGTCAGACAGCATCTGGAGCTGAACAGCATCATGTTACAGCAGGGCTACCAGGCCACGTCAGCCACATCCACGTGGAAGTGCCCCTCTGGATGCAGACCTGGGGTTTAGTTCGGTTCTGGACAATCTCTTGTGTTTTGCCTTGAAGGAACATGCTGCTCCCTCTGTGTCTGAGGCTGCACAGGCAAACCCAAGCCTGCTCCAGAGCATCTCCGATCTAAGTTGTATGGGATGGGTGCAGATTGGTAGGTGGAAAACAGTGGCAAAGTGGGCTAGCAGGAGGGGCTTGTAGCCAGCCTTTCCACCTTTCTCACTGTCACCATCCTCTGTCCTAGCAAAGGGTGGGAAAAGATGCACGTGTAAGAAGAGTAGCAAGAAGCCCTGTGCAGTAACAGCTCTCTTTCCCCTCACAGGAGAAAGCCATCAGCATCTGGGAATCCAAGAACTTCTTCATTGAGCTAGACCCACTCCCCGGGGCTGTGGAAGCTGTGAAGCAAATGGCAAATTTGGCAGAGTGAGTAGGGACCTGCCTGTGGTATTTGAGGATGGATGGGGAAGCAGCAGTGGCTTTGCAGACTCATCCACCTCCTGTCAGAAGCGCTGAATACACCACCAGCATTAAAAATACCTCCCAGCCCACTGGGCATGGGAGAAAAGAGAGGGCTTTGACTCCTAGAGCAGTCACCAAGAAAATCGGCCATGTGCAGCCCCTTCCCTTCAGCTCTCTGCTCCTAGCAAGAGTGGTGAAAAGGGGAACATGCTTGTGCCATGGGTGTGGGTGCACATTCTGGGGGTGGGATCTTGCGAGATGCGGGATTAGTATCTGAAATCACCCCGGTTTGATCTGTGTGTGATGGGGGATCTGCTCTGGGCACCTGCCTGCTCAGGGAGGGAGTGGGGTCTTGCAGAGGCAGCCAGGTATAGCTCAAGGGGGAGCAGGGTCTGATCGGTGTGTTGGGCCACCAAGTGACACTTTGCCCCTGTTTTTCTCCTCGTGGCAGCACCGACGTGTTCATTTGCACAAGCCCCATCAAGAAGTACCGCTACTGCCCTTACGAGAAGGTGAGCAGATCCGAATCCCAACTCCCCCTCCCATACTGCACTTCCCAGAAAAAGGCAGCTGCCTCTGGCTGTAAAACAGCAGCAATATTTCATTGCCCCACCAGTTTAGTTCCTAAGCATCTTCACAGAACAGCAGCTCTGCTGTTGGCCGAGCTTTGCCATTTGCATGCCCTGAGGCGCTTGGTCTTAGTATTTCATCACGGCACCAAAAGCTGCTTGGCTTTAAAAGAACTTGTGCTCTAGCAACATTTGAATCCTTCCCGCTGATGAACTTACTGAGATGTCCTCCCTGTGTGGGGGCCAGGGCTCATGCCATGTGCTGCTGCAGCTTCGCTGATCAGCCCCTGCCCCGTCCATCAGCCTTCCCTGTGCTCACCACTCGCCTCTTGCCTTCCAGTATGCCTGGGTGGAAAAGCACTTCGGCCCCGAGTTTCTTGAGCAGATCGTTTTGACACGAGATAAGACGGTGGTTTCTGCTGACCTGCTTATAGATGACAGACCTGATATAACAGGTAAGGGAGGTGAGGGATGGCAGGATTGGCTGGAGGCAGCCCTGAGGGGTACCCAGGGGCGCTGGGCGCTGGTCCCTCCCTGCTTGATTTGTCCCTCATTAGGTGTCTGTGTCCACAGGCTCCTCACGTTGGAGTAAGGTCAACCTCTGCGTCTTGCGGAGTTGTCCAGAGAGCTGACCTCCCTCCTTGCTTTGCAGGGGCTGAGCTGAACCCCAGCTGGGAGCACGTGCTCTTCACGGCCTGCCACAACAAGCACCTGCAGCTCAAGCCCCCCAGCCGCAGGCTGCATTCCTGGACCGACGACTGGAAGGCAATTCTGGACAGCAAACGCCTGCCACCCAGCCAGGCTGCCTGAACACCAGCCTCCCGCAGCTGCCCCGGGGCTGCGGCCACAAGCTCATGTCCCTCTGGAGTCCTGCTGAAGGCTGAAACCACAGATGGACAGACAGACAGATGCTGTCCCTGCTGCGGAGAGGAAGAGGAGGCTGAAGCAGCCCCAGACAGCAGACCCCAGCCCAGCCATGCTGCAAGGGACCAGCAGCAGGATTGGCCCCGTGGACCTGACAGTGCGGCTGGGGGGCATTTCCCACTGGCTTCTGGAGTCTCTGTGCTGCATGTGCACCCCCTGCAAGGTCAGGCCGGTATTTCTAACAGACACGGTCACCCTCAGCATGTCACTGCCCTTGTCCAGTGGACTGCATGGCACAGACCAGCTCTCCGTTGTCCTCTCAGCCTTACGGTCAGGGATCAGGCATTTTGTTACGTTCTTGCAGGGCTTCATACCCAGGGGGCTGCCTTGGGGGATGTTTTCTCCTGGTCGGTGCCCAGGTCTGGGGAGAGGGGCGGCTAGAAGGGGAGGGAGAGCAGGCGGACGCTGCCAGGCTCCCTGCACCAGCTCAGATGTGCTGTTCCTTGCAGCTGATGCAACGGGATGGCTACATTTTTCCCTGCAGGAAGAGTCCCTGCAGTGGGATATGGGGACAGTACCACTTCTCCAGTGGACCTGGCCCCGGGGCGAGAGCCCTGAGGCACCGTCACACCTGAGATGTAGCCCTCCTCCAGCTGCCAGGAGGGATCTCCGCTTGCCCTCATCCCTGAGGAGCTGCCGCAGCTTCAGAGCTGATTTGGGATGAAGAGAGTGGCTCTTCTCCCACCTGCTCATTGCTTGTGGGCCACTCGCCGGCGGCATATCTGGGGCAGCGAGCGGGTAGGGGCAGTGCCAGCACCAGCCCTTCCTGGGAGCCGGGCAGTTCCTGCAGGAGCTCATGGCTCACCCTGCCAGCCAGCGATCGGACGGTAACTCCTCAGATTTCAAAGCCAGGAAGGTCTGCACACGCAGGCTGCATGATCAAATCACCCCATCTCCCTCCTCCTGGTAGTGTCTGACATCAACCTGCCAGGAAAGCTCTGGGTGTGCATCCACTGGGCACCCCCGTTCTACGCACAAGGTCCTGGGTGCTGCATCCCACTGGGGTCAGGCACTGGGATGGTTGATGCCACTGAGCTTCCTAAAGCCTTCAGTGCAGAGCTGCCTGGGAAGGTGTCGCTGCATGGAGAAGTGGGGCTGGTGGAGGAGCTACGGCATTGCTGAGAAGCGGATAAAGCAGAGGCACCACGGCTGTCCAAAGGGCAGGCTGAGAGTTGCACTGGTGGAGGATTGTCATCCGTGGATGCTGTTTCCAGTCCTCACGTACCACAAGGGAAGAAGTTGGGGGCACGTTGCCGTTGAAGGCTGGGGAGCCCATCAGAGGTGCCAGTGAGACTGTATCATGGGGTTAGTTTGCTCTGCAGCTGCCTGCAGCTCCGCTGCTGCCCCGACTCTGGATGTCTGGGGACAGAGCATGCTGCCGGCCACACTCACCTCATGCTGGGACCCCTGTGGCGAGGAGTTTGGCCACCTGGCCGGAGCGAAGGGGCTGCACCGTATGTGCCTGTCTGTTCCACTCGCCGCTGCCAGGGGTTGCTGAGCTCTGGGAGCAGCCAGCGCTGCTGGGAAGCTGGAGCTGGGCACCGAAAAAGGAGCGTTTGGACCGAGGGGCAGCTCCAAGAGGGATGTTTTTTGCATAGCTGTCCCTACAGCCTCTTCCTCCCTTGCCCGGCTCCTTCCTGCCTCCCTGAGCCTGCACCAACCCGGCCTTGAACTGCAGTGACCCACCCAGCCCCGGAGAAGAGACATCCCAGCTGCTGGGGAGAGCCGGGCATCCGCTCCCCACGACACGGGCCACGAGGCAGACACATCCTGACCATCCCAACTGGGAACCAGCGCTGGGCTGCCCCAGGCAAAGCCCCGGGGATGCGCCGGGTGCGTCAGGGCCAGCGTGTGTCTGCGTCACTGCTGACACCACAGAGGCCACGCAGCCCCCGCTCCCGCCTGCCCCCCACGCCGTCCGGGATCCCACCACACGCTCCTGCCCTCCTGACCTGAGGACTTGCTGGCTGCAGGAGTAAAATTCCCCACCGGGACACGTAGTCCCAAGGGCGGGGGTGGTAGCCAGGGTTTGACTGGGGTTAGCCACCCTATGCTGCCTGCTCATGCCTTTGGCTTGCTTCTCCTCTCCTATGGGCTCCCCGCCAGCGAAAAAAACTATGTGAGCTGAAAGCTACATAGCCAACAAATGACCTATTTCAGCAGCGGCAGTTGGCCCCCACCATGTCTGGGACCTGGAGGGGCTACTGAATTCAGGGCTTCTGAGTCTGTGCCTTCCCCGGCTGCTGCAGGGCCAGGGATGAAGCCTGCATCGCCTCCAGTCTTTCTGAAACCTGTCCCGTCTATTGGGATGGGGCGAGTGTGTAAAGACAGCATGGTTGGCCCATGGCAGTGGGAGTTACATACCACAAGGATTTTTTTTTTTTTTCTTTTTTCCTGTTTAAACCACTGTGTTTGAGGGGGTGGTATTTGGGAGGGGTGTTTGCAATGCACACCCACCTGAGATGCAGCCCCGGAGATGCTGAGCATCACGTACCCCTTGGCCCTTCCAGCTGCCAGCCCCTTTGTGCAGCTGGGGTGGCCTCATGGGGTCCGAGCTGTTTTTTTTCCCCAGCAGCACCATTTGAATATGAGTTGTCATATTGCGGGGAGGGAGGACTGCAGGACCATCCCGACAGGGCTGGGAAAATCCCCATTTCCAGGTTGGGCTCCGGGAAGGGGTGCTCCAGCCAGGCAGTGGCCCATCCCAGGCTCTCCTTGCCCTAAATATAAGTTGCCCAAGCTCTCCAGAGCCTTCTGGCAGCCCATCCTTGAGCCAAAACTGGAGCTGGCGTGTCGTTACGGCTGCCCAAACCAGCCCTTTTCCCCCGAGGCTGTGGTGGACCCGAGGGACATGGCTCTCTGACAACCAGCAGGTCTTTCCCCCTTGGTGGGACATGTGAGACCAGAGAGACCACGTGGCTTCATGCCAAATATACTTGAAAGCACAGCTGGAGTTTCTCATGCATGAGGCTCCGATTCGACGCACAGAGATCGCAAGCAGGTAGCTGGCCTGTTTGCACCCGCCGAGCTCGGGGCTGGGGGGTGACTCCCTGTCATCCAGCAGATTGACCCTTTCAATGTTCAGGCCCTTCCGTGGCCAGCTAAAATGCACAGAGCTTTTATTTTTAAATGCACATCTATAAAACCGAGGCCAGTGAGGAGCACTGCAATAAACACTGGGTTTTATTGGCATCCAGCTTCCTAGAAATGGAGTTCAGGTTTTGCAGTTTCCCACCAGTGGCTCTGCCTTCTGCATGGGGATGGTGGGGTGTTCGCCTGTGGGCTTGGGCAAGCCCCTGTGTCCAAAAAGACTGAAACCAGCTCCCAGCAGTGCCATTACCCCATTAGATAAGAGTCACTGTGGGCAGAAAGACAGGTGCATTTAGGTAGCGATCAGCTTCCTGAACATCTTTTATAATAAATAGAGCCATGAAGTGTGTCTCCTGTTGGGCCACAGACCAGAAGCAATAAAAGGGGCTGAAGCTGTCATGGGCTGGCTCTCCCCGGGATTTTGTACCTTGTCCATTGCTGTGGGCTGGTCTACATCCACTCACGCTGCCTGCCAAGTGTCCACAGGCTTCCCCTGCCCGCCGTGGGGCCATGCCATGGGTGACCCCTGCGCTTGACCGGCGCTTGCATGCTGTGAGCAATGCCGTAACCCTGCCAGACACCCAGGATCGAAGGTGGGGAGGGAGGACTGCAGGACCGGAGGACTGCAGGACCATCCCGATGGGGCTGGGAAAATCCCCATTTCTGGATTGGGCTCTGGGGAAGGGATGCTCCAGCCAGGCAGTGGCCCATCCCTGGCTCTCCTTGACCTGAGCACAGTAGCCAGGATCAGCCCAGCACTGAGGAAACGAGCATTGATGCTGGGGCAAAGCATGGGATTTGTTTGGTTTTTTTTTTTTTTTTTTTTCCTGGTGTTCAGTGCAGCATTAACTCACTACCATGCGCGGCTTTAAAGATAGCTTGATTTTTCCCTTCCAGCTCAGAGTGCTGCACTAGATGGTTGCAAGCACTCGGAAGATAAATTAGCGAGTCCAATCCTGCCACAGTTCAGCCCCTGGCAAGCAAGGAAAATGTGATCTGTGCCATATCTGTGGTCTGTGCCAGGAGTGCCCCGTGGGAAGCAATGACCTGCCCCAGGCACCGTGAGACACCAGGGAGGATGGGGCATTTGCGCCGGCTCTGGAACGCGTGGGTCTGACACTGGTTTCACTCTAGGACACGACACGGGGTGTGAGCAGGATCACATCCGTGAGCTGGTGGTGCAGCCCTGCTGGAACCGGGACACCCAGGGGCTCCTGGCCAGCATGGGGATGAGGCGATTTGGCTGCCAGCTCGGGCAGCACAGCCTGGGTTGGGTGCTGCTGTGGGGCCCATAAAGCTGCCCCGGGGCTGGTTTGGGCAACAAGCACCTCTCTGCCCTTGTAGCTGCTTTTTGGGGCTGCCTGCAAAGCCTGGCAGCAAGCGTTGGGCCCCAGCTGCCTCTTTCCCCACCACCCTTACCCCGTGGTGGAGGTCCCGTCTGCCCGGAGGAGACGCTGTCCTTTCCCCGGCACATGAACGGAGGCAGCAAGTTTTACACCAGCTCTGCTCTGAGCTGGGGCTGTCAAGCCATGGCATGGGGACCAGGGCCACGTGTTTCCCTCTAAAAGATGGAGCAAGGTGGAGGGACCACATCCTCCCCACCAGCCCAAGCGAGGGCTGGCGGAGCATCACAAACCACCTGCGTGCGGCAGATGTGCAGGTCCACAGCTGCGTCCACTCCTCCACACTGTTTTTTCCTTGAAAAGCCTCAGGTTGCAGATACCACATATCTTCCAGGTGACGAGCACAGTTTCCGAGGCAGGCAGAGGCAGAGACGTGGGGAAAGGGGGTGGTAGTGACCTGGACCTGTCCCTGAGCACAGGGAACACTCCGGGCTGGGGCCGGTGGGGACCCCTCGCACCCTTCCCATGGCTTGAGGCTGCTGGGCGCGCTGCCGACCGCCGAGGAAAGGATCTCAAAAACAAAGACGCTGCCTCTAACGTGTAAGCACTGCCCTCAGCTGGGTGCTGAATTTGGGCATTGCCCAAACTCACCGGAAAAGTTCCAGGAGGTTTGGGTGCCCTCCTGGCAGCCATCGCGTGAAACCCCTCAGCTGCCGGAGTGGGGTGGGGATGCGACCACCCCGAGAGCCGCCCGCTTCATCCCGGTCCAAGCTGGAGCAAGCTCGCAGGACCTGGCAGGGTGGGAGCAAGTGATGCTCGCACCTGGAGCCCTCGGAAGCTGTCACCACGCGGGTGTTTGTTGGCTCTTTCTCATGTTGGCCGAGTGCGGAGCCGGGAGAAGGGGGGAGAGCTGGGGCTGCAGGGGCCAGCCCTGACGCAAGGGTGATGGGTGTTGTGGGACAAAGCCAGGGCAGGGGACAGCGTGAGGATGAGTCACCCAAGTACGCAGGAGGGGAGGGAGTGGAGGCAGCGATGGCTCAGCCCACGGTGGCAGCTGGACGGGGCTTTGCTTCCGCAGGGCCACCCTGTCTGATTTCAGGAGAGGAGCAGGATGGTGCCCTGGGGTGACCGCTTGGGGCCAGGGTCTGGAGCCCAGCGCTGCCTGCACGCCGTGGGCAGGACAGCCGTGTCGATACAGGAGAAATATCCACTAGAGGGGACTGTGCGATCGCGTGTGGGAGCGCGCCGCTGCCAGCCGAGCCGCAGAGCAGGATCCGGCTCCTGCGGTCCTCAGCCCTCCTGGGTACCCCCAGCCCGGGCTCCCAACGCCCTCCGCATCCCTCCCGCTGGGCACTGCAGCCCGGGGGGCTCAGCTCAGCCAGGGCTAAAAAAGCACTTGCAGCTGCAGGCACCGGGGAAAGGTGCTGGGCTGGCCCCCGCCAGCCACTCGCTCGCTCCCCCCTCAGCAGGATGGGGCAGAGAAGAAGCAGCTCAAAACCACGAAAAACTTGTGGGTCAGAAGAGGAACTAGAGGTCTATAGGGTCCATTATAGAAAATATCCCTGGAAAAAAGGCAGACCTCAGGTCCCCGACAGCCCAGGGCAGCCCCCCTCCTCCTCCACGACTCCCTGCTCAGTTCTGCCCCTGCTTCCCCCCAGGACCCCACAACTCTCCCATGGATGAGCCTGTTCATCCTGTCCCTGAGAGCCCCAAATCCCCCCAAGGACCCAAGGCCCTTACTTTGCTTTTTTTCCTCCTGCTAACCCTGAATCCGGAGCCTGTTGTGGGGAGCAGAGGAGGCAGAGCCAGGGGGTGGTGAGGGCAGGAGGAACCCGGGCGGTTTCTGGTGGTTTCCTCTTGCCCTCCCCTTCCCCCCCAGCGCCACAATATCGCTTCCCTTCTGGTAGGATTAATGGGCTTTGCTTCTCTATTTGTACGCAAGGATTTAAGTAATGCATTCCCCAGAGAGGAATAAAGCTTGCCTTGGCCCAGCAGTGCTGGGGGGGCCAGATCAGAGCCCATGGTGATGGGCTGCATCAGCTTTCCTGTGTCCTTTGAGGCGCCAAACACATTAACCCCGTCCTCCTGGCAAAGATCCTGCAAAATGTTTATTTGTGACTGTGTTAGCAAACACGCCAGTGGAACACGTTGCGTTTAGACGTGAGCCTGCCACCCTCCCCCCTGCCTCCCCGGGGCCGAGCCCATGCACAACGCGGGGCTGGGGCTTGCAGCTGCCAAAAAACCAGCTCCCAATGCTGTGCCGTGACCAGCAACCCCGAGCACGAGGCCATCTTGCTTGCCATTCCCATCAGCCACCAAACCTGCCAGCAACGTCCCACCAGCAGCTCCTCCCTGGAGATTCCCAGCTCACAGTCCTGGAGCAGGGATGCAGCTGGGAGGAGAAGATCAACCACGATGTTGGACAGCCCTGGTGTCCTGCAGCTGCCAGGGCAGAAGTGCTTGATGGCTAAAAGGATTTAAGAAGTGCTCGAACCTTTAGGGCTGCGTGTTCCCAAGAAGCCATAAACCCTTCTGCATCTCTCCCCCCAAATTTGCAGCATCGCAGCCCCAGTGATGACCCAGCACCTGGCCAGCCCTAGGGGCTCTAGTGTTTTTGACACCGTCCAGCTTTGCGATGTGTCTATCGACCGTGTTGAACGTGCCGGGAGGAGTGTTTCGGGTACAGCACCTGCTGTCACCATGCAGCATTGTTTCCCCAGCAGCAGCGCGACATGGTCTTACCCCTTTCAGACCCAACTGGCTCCGTCCTGCTCGGAGGTGGTTGCTTCATCCCAAGCTAGCTAATTCTTGCTGCTTTTTCTATTCTTGCTTTTGAAGGAGGGAGGGGAGAACAAAACAGCCCTCAGGGTGAAGTTACCTTCTTAATTAACAAGGCTGAGAGCTTTGCGGATATTGTGCAGAAGGAGAGAAAAATAAGGAAAGCTGAGCAAAACCAGAAAGGATCGGGTTCAATTGTCAGACCAATTAACCTAGATCCACGCTCTCCCTCTGGATGAATAGCTCGTTATTATGTAATTGCTCAGGCCCGGCTCCTGACTGAGAGAAATTAAAATCAGACACTTAACAAGGCAACCTGGTGTGGAGATGGGATGTGGGAGCTGGCTGGGGAAGCTATCCACAAAGCAAAACGGAGCAAGAGCCTGAGCTGTGCGGGGTGAACTTGAGCCTGAGCTTAGAGGATCTTGCTGAAATCAGCATTATCCGAACCATTTGTACCATCCTGAACCCAAAATGTGGCCAGGCTGGGGGATAATTTGGAAAGGCCCTGGAGATAGTGAGCAGGCAGAAGGCCCTGATTTAGCCAAGCACTTAAGCGTTTGCATAATTGCAATGTAGCTGCAAGTCCAGCTCAGCTCAGCAAGGGATTTAAGCGGGGTATGTGGTGTGCTCAGCCAGGGACAAAGTAATTCAGGAGCTCTTTTGTCTGGAGAACAAATAAAATTCATTGTAAGCCCTACTTGACCCTTTCTTCCATGCTCTGTGTTAGGACCCGTCTGCCCAGAGAGGAGGAAAAATTCCATCATTACAGACTTTTAAATCTATACTTAATAAAAAAAAGCCGCTAATCCTAATAAATCAGCCTGAGAAAACTAGCCGGTGCTGTAGCTGAGCAGGGTTTTCCATCCATAGGTTTGATGAGTTCATATGCAGTGGGAAATTTAAATACAATGTTTGGGGAAGGGCCGAAGGTTTCAATATTAGCTTAAGAGTAGACAAACTGTTTTTCTGCTTCTGAAACGGAAGGGGACCTCCTTGCCGGAGGGTTGGCCTTTCCCATCCTCCATATTTTCATCTACCTCTTCTCCTGCCTGCAAATTATCCACGGAGAGAGTGAAGTCTGCAGAAAAACACTGTGCACGCCCTGCACCCTGTTTGCACGACCGTCTCAAGGCGCGACAGCAGCTTTGCTTCCAACCGAGCCATGCCAGCGCCGGCCGGCTGCCGCCCGCGGCTGTCCGCCCTCCCAGCTCAACCCCCTGCAATACCTCCGTTTCCCCCAGGACTTTTTGGGGTTCTGCTCCTCCATCCTGCTTG